GTGAACCGGGCGGGCCGCAGGGAGAGCGGGGAAGGGGGGGGGGGGGGGGACAAGCATGCGCTTCCCCCCCTGAATAATACCAGGCCACATGCCCACAGAAGGATGCTTCCAGGACCCCTCTGGAAGAGCACCTTGGCCTCATGTCGATGACAAGGGCCTCTTCCCCACAACCCTTGTCCGGTGCTTGTGGGGGTCTGCAGGCTGGGGGGGGGCTTATCTGAATCGGGGTGCTCCCTTTTATTCATGAATGACTAAGAGGTAGTTGTTACACCTGCTCATTCACCAAATAAACAGTCAAACGCACAACACCGTATACAAAAGTCCAACAGGTCAATCACGTCCAGTGATGTAGATCCTTGTCGATCACTATGGACGACGGCCGTTGACGCGCCGAAAGCATAAATACCCACCAACCTGTCCGATCCCGACAAAACTCCCGCCACCCAGATGCAGATGAGCCCCCCCCTGCACACAGAGCCCCACAACCACCAGGCCAGGGTTGTGGGGAAGAGGCCTTTGTACTCACCGGCATGGGGACAAGCTGCTTTTCCAGGGGGGGTCCCCCCTGGCAAAGCACTCTCCCCAAGTCAAGGGCATGTGGTCTGGTATGGCATGCTCACCCCCTCCCCTTTCCTGCCGCTCGGATCAAGGGTCTGGTAAGTGATTTAAGGGGGGACCCCACGCTGTTCTTTTGGCGTTGGGAGGGGGCACCATTCTTTTTTTGGCATTGGGTTCACCCCTATAATTCCTACCAGACCTAAAGGGTCTGGTATGAATTGGGGTGGGGGGAAATTTATGTTGCTATGCCTACTTCACTCTTTCTGGACGTAGTGAAAAGAATCCCTGAACCGTATGCTTAGCCGAATGTTCGGCTATTCACTCTCAGCTGTATCGCCCCTTTGGAGAATAGAGGTAAAGAGCCGTGAAGGAACTACCAAATTTTTCCTTCAGCCGATCCAGATGTTGCATGTGAATGAGCTCTTCCCTTCACCTCGGCCGGACGAGCTTAAGAAGGCGTAGTAGAGCCGAAGGCAGCCAACGTTCGGCTACAAATAGCTGTTTGCGGATGCAGTGAATAGCTAGCTGTACAGGCTAAAATAGCCTTCGGTTCACTTCGGTTATTCATTTGGCTGCCCTCGGCAGCCCAGTGTACAACCCCCTAAGTGAATTTAAACATGCTTGGGATAAACATAGATCTACATTCAGACAAAAGGTAAACAAAAAAAAAACAAAACAAACAAAAGCATTAAGCAACAAAAACACATTCAAAAAGGTGTCGGACTGGATGGACTATTTAGGTTTTTCTGTCGTCACCTTTTTGTCTCTCTAACACCATTGTGGAAAGGGCCTTTTGCTACATTTCGAAGTCCAAATTGAGTTTCAGCGCTCACATGGAGCTTAAGTCTGTCAGCGAAAGGGTTATTCGACTCCTCTCTGCCTAAGGAGGGGGCAGGTCTACAGCTCTGATGTCACAACCCTGCCTCCTTTCCCCCTCCTCCGTGGCCATTTTGTGTTGGACCATCGAGAGACAACAAGCCAGCACAAGACAGGGAAGGCAGCAAGGGGCAATCGGTGGAAACAAAACACTCTAAGTTCATCTTGGCTTTGGGCTCTTCACTCAGGTAGGGGTGGATGGGTGGGATGAGGGATTTGCGTTGTATTGTATGTTATGGATTTTTGTTTTGGGTATTACATACCCATTTCGGACTCAGGACCTTTAAGTCCTGAAGCTTTTTTTCATCTTTCGTAGATTTCTGTTTTACGCCACACAGCATTTGTGGTATCCAAACACCTTATAATTCAGGAGAGGAGAGTTTTAAAGGTTTTTTTTTTGATTGAAAAATATACTTTATTAATGTAATAAAATATACAAAAACAAGCTATACATTCGGGGTACATTCTACCTCGTACTGCGATGCAGCGCATAAACACCACATACCAATACAGGAGAGTTTTAAATGGTTAATCCACCCAAAATTGTTATGACTGTGTTTAGTGGATGCTGGAGAGTTAAACCCCTTGACAGTCTCTTTTGTCTATTGGAGGCTTTATTGGGGAGATCTTTGTGCCGAGTTCCCAGGTCTGTACACCTGCTGTGTCCCTTATGGGGGGTTTCCACCATCCCTGTGCCAAGTTCTCAGGTCTGTACACCTACTGTGTCCATTATGAGGGGTTCCCACCACCTCCTGTGTTGAGTTCCTCGGTCTATACACCTACTGTGACCCTTTTTATGAGGGGTTCCCATCATCCCTGTGCTGAGTTCCTGGGTCTGCACACCTACTGTGTCCCTTATTAGGGGCTCCCACCATCCCTGCACCGAGTTCCTGGGTAAATATACAAAAACAAGCTATACATTCGGGGTACATTCTACCTCGTACTGCGATGCAGCGCATAAACACCACATACCAATACAGGAGAGTTTTAAATGGTTAATCCACCCAAAATTGTTATGACTGTGTTTAGTGGATGCTGGAGAGTTAAACCCCTTGACAGTCTCTTTTGTCTATTGGAGGCTTTATTGGGGAGATTCCTGTGTTGAGTTCCTCGGTCTATACACCTACTGTGACCCTTTTTATGAGGGGTTCCCATCATCCCTGTGCTGAGTTCCTGGGTCTGCACACCTACTGTGTCCCTTATTAGGGGCTCCCACCATCCCTGCACCGAGTTCCTGGGTCTGTACATCTGCTGTGCCCATTATAAGCGGTTCTGACCATCCCTGAGCTGAGTTCCTGGGTCGGTACAACTGCTGTGCCCATTATGAGGGGTCCCCACCATATCCCTGAGCTGAGTTCCTGGGTCTGTACACCTGCTGTACCCATTATGAGGGGCTCCCACCATCCCTGTGCTGAGTTCCTGGGTCTGCACACCTACTGTGTCCCTTATTAGGGGCTCCCACCATCCCTGCACCGAGTTCCTGGGTCTGTACATCTGCTGTGCCCATTATAAGCGGTTCTGACCATCCCTGAGCTGAGTTCCTGGGTCGGTACACCTGCTGTGCCCATTATGAGGGGTTCCCACCATCCCTGTGCTGAGTTCCTGGGTCTGCACACCTACTGTGTCCCTTATTAGGGGCTCCCACCATCCCTGCACCGAGTTCCTGGGTCTGTACATCTGCTGTGCCCATTATAAGCGGTTCTGACCATCCCTGAGCTGAGTTCCTGGGTCGGTACACCTGCTGTGCCCATTATGAGGGGTTCCCACCATCCCTGTGCTGAGTTCCCGGGTCTGTACATCTGCTGGGCCCTTTCTAAGGGGTTCCCACCATCCCTGTGCTGAGTTCCCGGCTCTGCACATCTGCTGGGCCCATTCTAAGGGGTTCCCACCACCCTTAAAAGAAGATGGCTATATCTAATTTAGGAACAAGAAAGGGATCCGTATTGTACCAGCTCCCCCCCAGGTGATGTAGTTTATAATGGTTAAGCAGTTTATAATGGTTAAGCACAACTAATGTTTCTGCGTTGGCTAATGAATGATTCCCTGTCTATAGGTGTCAGCCATGCCGAGGTGCATCGTCGCCAGTTGCAGCAGCAAGCAGAACAAAATCACCGCCATGAGGGGAGTCATTTTGCACGTCTTCCCTCCCAACGTTGACCGGATCAAAACTTGGCTGATGCATATTGGACAGGATTTTGGAAATCTTGACGAATTTTCCCAAAGAGTGTTCCATTCCAAGAAGAACGGCTCTTTCAGGATATGTTCGGACCATTTTACACCCCAGTCTTACGTTGAACACGCTTCTAAGAAGTTGTTGAGAGTCGATGCCGTGCCCACAGTCTTTAACAAAGATGCTGCGAGTCGCCCTTCTGCCAATAAAGGCCTACTGATGGCTTCAGGAAATAATTACAGTACGGTCAGCATGCCGTCAACCAGCAACATTTCATGTGCTACCTCCAACACATTTCCTTCATATAAAGATGTTTCTTCTAGAACGGACTTGTACCGGAAAACAAGAGAGGCAAGCACGCAAACCCATCAGGACACCACCTCGAAGACCGTGAAGGTAGGCACCAATATGGAACCATTCACGAGAAATACATGAAAGAGAGTAAGGTCTTGGTTGAATGAGATATACATTTCGTTCCTCCAGCTATAATTATATCACACACACTAGCCATTGATACAACTCCTATACCACATGAAATACAATAAGGGTTCCTGGTCTTAGCGTTGAAAGAGGATTGAGTTGAAGCAGAAGAGAGTGGGCTGAATGAGATTGGTGGGATGGTGAGGTCCCAATGTTGGAGAGGGTCACTGAGAATGCACTTTGTCAGAGCGGACAGGGTGGTCACTCTTGGCAGAGAATGAGCAATGGATGGTGGTGGCACTGAGTGTGGTGACCAGTGCCAGAAGATTATGGGGGCTTGGAAGGTGTTTAAGGCAGAGTTGAACAACACCAAAGGCTTTATAAAGTGAGATGCATTTCACATATCCTGTCAAACATGAGACAGCTTATTCTTGATTCAACCAAGACCAGAAGTCCTCTTCCTCCATATCACTCCATATCCAGATACAGGGTGAACTAGCTCTGCCTACAGACCAATGCCAGGCAGATAGTTTCAGATGGCACCTTTTGGCTGGCAGAGCTCTGCATTCTAGAAGCACTGATTGGCTTGATGAGTTTAAGCTCTTCGCCTTCCCATAGTTAAAGAAGCCACAGACCCAGATTGTGCCCTAGTCTGGGTCTTGCAGACATTAAGAGGAGCAAACACTCCAACTCTTTTTATTCTTCTTCTACTACTGATGAACCACCTAGGCTTTGACGCATCACTGTAATTTTGTTGGCTTTCCAGGAAAACTTGAAAGTTTTCCACAAATGACAATAAAAAGGACTGGCTGCCTACCTGGCAGTTTCTTCTATCTCTTGGATACTCTACTGTTGAGATCTTTGGGTTCCCGGGTCTCCCACCACCCCTGCTAGGTTTTATAACATTGTTACATTATTGAAGATTATTGGGTGACTCTAAATCATGTTGCTTGAAAACATCTTAGTGACATAGTATCTGAGGTTGAATAAAGACACAGGTCCATCAAGTCCAACCTATTGCGTGTATGCATGTGCTTCCACATGTGTTTGAGTCCATGTGTGATATTGTTCTTAAGTGTAGCTGTAAACAATCACTTTACTGTCATTGATTAACTGCACTTCTTTTTTTTTTGCTATGTTAAAGTCAACCTTTCATTGGCCAAGGGATGACAAATCAACCTTCTAAATAGGTGTCACCATGTGCTGATCCACCCAAGACCCACATCTGCAATGCAAATCTTAGAGAACAACTTTTTGAGAAAAGATCCATTGAGACAGAGCCATGGAAGATTCCACAAACCATGCATGGAGATCACCGAGATCTCATCTGGCCCTATGAGTGTTCCTCAGAGTCCATGTTCCCAAATGTCTAGATCTGCATACTGCAGGCTTTCTGAGTGTATGGTTGCCCAGGGCACAATTTACAAACGTATTATTCATGGGTCTTGATCATCACCCGTTGGTGGCTGGTCTTCAGTTTAGAGGGTAGGCTGACATACCTTAGTCAATGACAGGTTTGTTTTAAAGAAGTCCTAAATGCACAAAAAGCTTTAACGTGTTTTTTTTATGATCTCTTCTAAAGTCTCCTGAGTGTAACGCACTATCAAACGTCGTTACTGATCCGAACAAGATTGACGAAATAAGAAAGAAGTTGACAGAGAGGATCCTACAGCTCACCCTGGAGATCATCTACCTACTGATCGGAGAGGTGAGGATTCCGGGAGGGTCACATGACATAACTCTTATCTCTATTGATAAGACCCAGACCTGACCATAGAGGTGAGAGGACTCTAGGAGAGTCACATGACATCTCTGTTATGTCTATTCATAAAACACAAATCTGACCGGAGAGGTGAGGAGGATTCTGGGAGGTCACATGACATCTATTACCCCAATAAAACAGACATGACCGGAGAAGTTACGCATTCTAGGTATTCGCCCGAGGCGTTAGTGTTTTAAAATGTATAAATGAAGAGGCTTGTAAAGAATTCATAGAAGCTGTAAATTATTTTCTTGATGTTGGAAGACATTGGCATATCAGCTTCTTAACACATAGGAATGTTCTGTCGTGGTGAAGAAGACCTCTGGTGATTACGTGATACCCAGCGCTTACCCCAATGTGCCAGGAGTATGGAGCAGGAGCCAAGGACCCAGTGTGGAGCTTTCACCTCCCACCCTGACACCTGAGAAAAGCTACAACAAGATTTTAGAAGTCACCAACAAGATCAGCCAGCTGCTGAAGGGAGAGGTGAGTGGCGCCAGGAATTCTGGGACATTATCCAGTAACAGGCAAGAGATATCTCTGAATGGTAACATAAAAAGTGAGAAAACAGGGCACAAGGTGACCCCCTTCATGCATTATAATTATAAGCCCTTTAATAATGGTAAGATACTAAAATGTACCATAAGCATACAGGAGTGGAGCAGCATGTCAATGTAGGAGACCTAGCAGACCCTCCAGATGCTGGAAAAGGGTAGTACTGTCTAGTGTCCCCGCGGCTTGGAGATCGCTCACACTTAATGGTTGTGGGGAGGCAGTGGTGCTGCTATGGCTATGTGTTTTGGGGGAGCCAAGCCAGAACAAACTTTTGGTTTAAAGGGAGAGGAGCCCCCAAAACGCATAGGCATAGCAATACCACTGACTCCCTGCACCCTAGAAGTGTGAGCTGCCTCCAAGCCACTGAGGACCCTACATTACCCGGAAACTCTAAGGTGCAAGTTGTCTTTTTTCGTTCAATAAGTTTTTGATGCAAAGAAGGGTTTACAAAAGTACACAACCCGAGTACCGTAAATGTTCAATAACACATGTCATAGAAGTGGGAAAGGCATAAGTAAATGACCCGGTGATCAGATTGGCATATCAGGAGCTGAAGGGCATTCAACAAGTGACAATCAGGACAAGGATAAACAGGTAAACTGCAAGTAGCATGAAGATCAGCCATGGTCGTAAGAAATAGGCGGGGTCCCGGATCACTGAAAATATAAACCACTGTCAACGGACTGAAATAAAGGGAGAGATGAAAGCAGAAAAGGGAGAGGATAGAGAGAGAAATAAGTTGTTGTTTTTTTAATGTCTGGATGGTGACTGTATCATTGTGTGTGTCAGGTTCCTATATGGTGTCAGGATGTCACTGTCTCCTTTTCCATGGAGGAGGAAAAAAACTTGGGACACAATGGTATCAACAAGGGTGTCACAATGGAGAACCAGCCACTTCTCTCGACAATGGGTAAGAGGAGACTTTAATTTCTTGGGGGAAGAGTATTGAGGATCTACCTAAATACACACATCTTTTGGCACAGCCATTCTTAACCAGGTTCTGTGCAACTCTTGGATTCCTCTCGAGGTTTGTAGAGGTTCCTTGAGCTGTCCCGGATTGATCTTCCATCTGATGGTGCCTGCATAGTTTCGGGGCCAATGCAACTCAGCAAAACCAGCAGCATGACACCAATTAGCTTTTTAGCCGTCTCTAAGGGTAACATTCTAACCACCACTGGGTGGTTCTAACCACCACTGAGGGTTGAATCCTTCCTACTGACAATTAACGTAAGGAGCATTTTTCCTATTACCCCCAATGACTTTGTATTAGTAAGGGTTCTACAGTAGCCTGAAAGTTATTTTAGGGGTTCCTCTGGGGTAAAAAGGGTGAGAAAGGCTGCTCTGTAATAGAACATAGAAACAATGTATTCAGTCAGTGTCTGTGTTTCCTACAGATGGATCCAGGAACAGAAATACCCCAGATAGGTGTCTCCATCCTCTGTATTCCACAGTGGAACATCACAAGATTTCACATTATCAGGTACATGGGACTAAATGTCTACCCAAACAATGCATGGAATGGGCCATGTTTAATCTAAAATAGTCTTGGCAAAACCATGTTGTTGTTTTAATGTTGGATAATATTGTGTGACTGTTGTAGCCCTTTATTTCTCCTAGGGTGAAAATATGGTAATTATAAAAGTTGAAGTAAAAGAGGAAGCAGACGAGTCGTATCTGATATGTGGAGAGCCATGCAGGGAGGAGGAAATTTCTACAGAGATCAGCACAGGTGAGTAATAAACACTGAATCCAGAGAAGAGTCCCAGATTCTCCTTGTTCAGTCACTACAACAATCTCTTCTTCTCCCCCCTCCTCTCTCAGTAGACAGTAATGGGGGGACAGTATGTGCCCGGAGTCAGGAGCCAAAAATGACCAAATGGCTCAAGCCATTCTACCATAAGGAGCCAGCATGTGTCCAGAGTCAGGAGCCATCAGCCTCTTTAGAATGTAGCTCAGAATGTTCCTCACATCCAGGCCGAGCTCCCCTTACTTTGCAACTCCTTCTTTCATCCTCCAAATATTTTTCACTCTTCATCCAAACCTAGGTCAGCTGTCCTCCTCAAATGCTCCCCCATTACTTCTCTGAACCTCAGTTGCTTGTCATCTGTCCCCTTTATCAGTCAGAGATTAGCAGGGCTGATGTAAAACAGGGAGCAGGATGATGAACCAGGAGGAGGAGTATGGACAGAAAGGTGGACTGAAGGAGAACAGACAGGACAGATGGAAAGTTGGGCTTTAGGAGGATGGACAGGAAGGTTGGGCGTAGGAGGCTCGGAAGTAAGGTACGGCTGGAGGAGGCTGGATGGCAATGTAGGCTGGAGTAGGCCAGATGAGAAGTAGGGCCGGATGGGCAAGAGGGTGGAAAAGGGCTGGAGGAAGATGGAAAGGAAAGCAGGATGAAGGGGGACAGCTTAGGAGACTGCCTTACAAAGCATCAAGGTTTGGAGTACAGCGGAGAAAGATGTGTGATATTTCTCTATGACTACTGAAGAGGACAGTTGATAAGCAACCGCTGTTTGGAGAAATGATGCTGGAAGGGAGGGGGCAAGTGAGAATTAAACTGGGTTTGGAGGATGACTGTCAGGGTTCTGGAAGAGCGTTAGGAAGATTAGGAGGAGGAGTGAGAAGCAGAAGGTGTCCTAAACTGGACACTTAGACTCTGACTCTCCTCTCCATGCCATATAATTGTGTGTTACCAGCCCTTGTGCATGTCAGTTTTAGGGGGTTTACTCTTATCTTTATTCATAGAACCCGAAGACACCAGAACAACTGAAAGAGACATCAAAACTGAGGAGGAGGAAGACAGACAAGTGAGGATTAAAGAGGAGGAAATTCCTGTAGAAATCACCACAGGTAATAAATACTAAATCCAGAAGAGTCCCAGATTCTCCTTGTTCAGTCGCTACAACAATCTCTTCTTCTCCCCCCCCCCCCTCTGTCAGTAGACAGTAATGGGGGGACGGAATATGTCTAGTGGGGGGGGGAGTCAGGAGCCATCAGCTTCTATTAGACTCCGGCTCTCTTCCTTACATCATGTCATTGTGTGTTACCAGCCAAGAGACATGACCAGTCCCCCCCCACTCTCTGGGGTCTCTCATACATCTCAGTACAGGGGGCTTTACTCTCATCTTTATTTGCAGAGTCTAGAGACACTCAGACAAACATCAAACCTGAGGAGGCGGCAGAAGAAATACAAGTCAGGGTTAAAGTTGAAGAGGAGGAAGAAGAAATACAAGTGAGGATTAAAGAGGAGGAGATTCCAATGGAGATCAGCACAGGTAAGCAATGAGCACGGAGGACAAAAGAAGTCATAGATTCTCCTTTTTTAGCCACTATATCACTTGAGTCCCACGGGCACAAACCTCATGAAATATTTTGATTGAATATCTTTATCTACACACAGGAGCCACTTTAGAATCAAAAGTCTAAAAAAATAGCTTGGACTAATTAAAATTAATTATAAAGCAAATCCACAATTTGGTCAGAGTATGTAATGTGCAGCACAACATATAGAGTGCAGCAGGCAAGAGAACCACTGTCTGAGGTATGCACTGTGCAGGTCGGTGTCACTTACCTGGTTGGAGACTGAATGTGTGAGGAGGCCTCCCTTGCACCTCGTGTCCCAAGGACTCTGGAGTTGGGGACAGAGTCCGCGTAGACAGCGAGTGGTGCCAGTGGTGATAACACCGTGCAAGCTGGAGTCCAGGTGCTGAGTGGAGAGCAGGGCAGGATCCGTAATCCGGGTCAAAGGAGCCAGGGTCACACCAGTTGGGCAGGCAAGGTACAAAAGGATGAGGCAGAGGCAAAGTCCAGTAAACGATCCAGGGTCAAAAGGCAGGCAGCAGGCAAGAATGGTCACGAACACTCCGGGTCAGAAGTCAGGCAATAACAAAAATGGTAGACACAGGAACACAGGGGAGCTGAAGGACAATCCCGCAATTTGGAGACAGGCAGGCTTGGTTTAAATAGTGTAATCCATTAGGGCACCGCATCACTTCCTGTGCGCCGTTTGGCACGCTTTTTCGCAGCCGTTTCGACGCGCATGCGTGCAAGTTTTCCAGTGGTATGGAAAACAGGACCCCGCACATGCGCAATAGCAGGTGGCCTCTGAAAGGTGTCAGTGTTGTGTCCCTTTATGATGGTAGCCAGTGGAGATGTGCCCCCTTAGGCGGGTGTCCAGCAGAGATGTGCTCCCTTGATGGGATGCAGTGCCTTGATTGTCCATCAATCCAACTATAGTATAGTTTTCCTTAGGTGGGTGGCCAGTGGGGAAAAGTCCCCTTAGGAGGGTGGTCGGCCCTTGGATAATTGCCCTGTTAGGTGGGTGGCTGACTATCTAGTGCAGAAGCGCCCCCTTAGGTGGGAAGTGTTGCCTTGATAACCCATCATTCCAACTATAGTATAGTTGCCCTTAGGAGGGTGGTCAGTGGAGATGGACCCCCTTTGGTGGGATGCGGTGCCTTGATCACCAATCAATCCAATTATAGTTGTCCTGAGGTGGATGGCCAGTGGGGGAGTGCCTCCTTTAGGTGGGTGGCCAGTGGGGGAGTGCCTCCTTTAGGTAGGTGGGTGGCCAGTGCCTCCTTTTAGGTAGGTGGGTGGCCAGTGCCTCCTTTTAGGTAGGTGGGTGGCCAGTGGGGGAGTGTCTCCTTAGGCAGGTGGGTGGGTGCTCCCTTAGGTAGATGGGTGGCCAGTAGGGACGTGCTCCCTTAGGTAGATGGGTGGCCAGTAGGGACGTGCTCCCTTAGGTAGATGGGTGGCCAGTAGAGACGTGCTCCCTTAGGTAGATGGGTGGTCAGTGGGGAAGTGTTCCCTTAGGTGGGTAGTCGGCCATTGGAGAATCACCCTCTTAGCTGGGTGGCTGACCATCCAGTGGAGAAGTGCTCCCTCAGGTGGGTGGTCAGTGAAGTAGCACCTCCTTGGGTGGGATGTGGTGCCTTGATCATCCATCATTCCAAATATAGTATTGTTGCCCTTAGGTGGGTAGTCAGTGGAAATGCACCCCCTTAGGTGTGTGGTCACTGGAGAAGTGCCTCACTAGATTGGTGGTCACTGGAGAAGCCCCCTACAAATTGTTGGTCAGTGGAAAAGTCCCTCCTTGAGTTGGTCAATTTTAAAGAGCTCAATATTTTTTTTAAAATGTGGCTACGCTCTAAATTTAAAATTGAAGAGATGTCAGAGTGTTTCTGAGAATTAGTAGTTGTTATAATACCCCCCCCCCCTTTTTCTTTTTTTTAGATGGGACCTACACCATACAAACGTGTTCCTTTAGTTTGCCCAATGGTGAAACTGATGATGATACCACAGATGTTTCTTCAGATGACTATCCCGCTGCCACAAATAGCATTCCTGTACTTTGTAGTCCACACTTATCTCCTGATTTCCCTGTACAAGGAAGCTTTTCCGACCACTCCTATCCAATCCCTCTTCGTTCCGACAGCAGAGAGGGGGAGGTGGACCCGTGTCCTGAGAAAGACAAAGGTCCTCACACGTGTCTACTATGCAAAAAATGCTTCTCCGACAAGTCCGTCCTCCGTCACCACGAGAAGACTCACAAAAGGGAGATGCCCTATACTTGTCTGGAATGTGGGAAGACCTTCCTGCACAATTCAAGATTCATATCTCACCGAAGAATCCACACGGGGGAGAGACCCTTTTCCTGTTCCAAATGCGGGAAGAGCTTTGTGAACAAACCCGATCTGGTCAGGCATCATAGAACACACACCGGGGAAAAGCCTTTTTCGTGTTCTGACTGTGAGAAACGCTTCACTCAGAGGGTTCATCTGGTGACCCACCAGAAAAAACATGGGCTTCAGAAGCTTTGAAGTGGATTTGCGCCTTCGAGTCCCGTACTTGGAAGATGACTAATGTCTGCTGGGGGTTCTGCGTTTCTGTGTACCCGGTTTCCTGTTAGCCGAACCGTAGCTCCTTGGCTACATAAAACCCATATCTGTGTATAACCTCCGGGAGCTCCTCCTGTTTATGACGTTGGATATGGCATCGGTGAGGGAAACAGACACGTGGGTTGTATTTTACGTCTGCACTGCCAGTTGAGAGATGTACATTTTTCCCTTTAACTTGTACGCTACAGTATACTAAGCTATCACTCGGCCTGTATCAGGCACACCCCCTAGCAGCTGGAGAGCAATGAAGGGTGATTCTGTTTTTTGAAAGGACGCATCAAAACGCTACATGGACACGTATAACAAAGGGTTGGATCAATAGTCCCTGGGTTATGCACATTTTTAAGCCTTCTGATTTGCTGCTAGTCAGTTCTGCCACTCTGGTAGTTTGTTTAAATAAAGTTTAGTTGGGGTTCGTGTGTGATGATTGCAGATGATTACAACACAAGTGGCGATTTCAACAACATGGGATCAACAGTGGATTGCCTCTGGCATGATGTCGTATCTATGTGCCAATGGGGACACAGTGTTGAGTGCACTGGAGCCTCTGAAACTATAGTATTACACAATATCTCATATGCCATGGTCGTACCAAGCTTGGCCAACATGCCAGAAAATGGACATCACACTGTAGCTGAATGGATACATGTGTTCATTAAAGTGTATCTAAACCCACAACCAAATGTGATGACGTATTGGTGTGCCACGGGGGACCTAGTGTTGATGCACCGGTGCCTCTGTAACAGTAGTAATACACAACATCTTATGAGCTCATATGCCATAGTCATACCAGGTTTGGCCAACATGCCGGAAACTGGACATCACACTGAAGCTGAATGAATACATATGTCCATTTAAAGTGTATCTAAACCCATAACCAAATGTGATGACGTATTGGTGTGCCACAGGGGACCCAGTGTTGAGTCTACTGGTGCCACTGAAACAGTAGTAATACACAACATCTTATGAGCTCATATGCCATAGTCATACCAAGTTTGGCCAACATGCCGGAAATTGGACATCACACTGTAGCTGAATGAATACATACGTATGGCCATCGAAGTGTATCTAAACCAACAACCAAATGTGATGAGATTGGTGTGCCACAGGGGACCCAGTGTTGAGTGCACTGGTGCCTCTGAAACAGTAAATACGCCACATCTTATGAGCTTATAGGCCATAGTCATACCAAATTTCGCAACATGCCACAAAATGGACATCACACTGCAGCTGAATTAATGCATATGTCCATTAAAGTGTATCTTAATGCCATGGTGTATTGGTGTGCCAATGGAGACTCAGTGTTGAGTGCACTGGTGCCTCTGAAACAGTAATACACAACATCTTATGAGCTTATAGGGCGTAGTCATAGCAAGTTTAGCAACATGCCAGGAACTGGACATCACATTGAAGCTGAATGAATCCGCTTCGTTAAAGAAATACAGATTTATTCGTTTTCATCCATAGATGGATCCCCTTTAAAATCCAATGGAATTCGGGATGGGGACCACTGTGGAAATTTAATTCTTGAGGGGTGTCATGTAAAAAAGAAAGGGGCAATGCCCTCAATGCGTGAACTGACCTCCGAGTCCTGGGATGCCATGGGGTCAGTTGATCTGGTGAATGATCCACTACAGCATGTCTATGCAATGTCATGGTGAAGGTGTGTTCTTCATCCATCAAGGTGGAAATTCGGAGCGCCCTCCCCCAAGGAGCCCGACTCTTCTGCTGTTGTATTCCTAACATGAATTAACAAGTTCAAGAGTTGAAAACCCTCCTCTGGGTATGTTAGGGGGGCAGAGCCAGGAGCTCACATAGAGACATTTAGCTTTGGACCACCCAGAAGAAGCCTTGGGGTGATGAGATCTGCTAAACTTTACCTTTAACACTGGACTCTGGACTGGAGTAGGTAAACTCCAACCAGCTGTTGAAACTACAATCCCATCATGCATCTGGGAGTCAAGCCTGTGGCTGTCAGAGTCTTGCAATGCCTCATGGGATTTGTAGTTGCACCACAGCTTTAGATCCCCGATCCTTTCTCAAACAGGGTACCTTCTTTCTATCTCGGGGGTGCCTCCAAATAAGAAAAGATAGAAGATTACCTCTGTCCACCCCTGTTCCACCTCCTGACCTCTGCCACAGCTATGGCTTCTGATGTAATGGCAGGACTCTGATATGAAGGGGAACTGAGGACTCTAATGTGATGGGGGCTACTGATGTGAAGAGGGAACTAAAGGCTGTAATGTGATGGGGGCTTCTTATATGAAGGGGAACTGAGGACTCTAATGTGATGGGGGCTTCTGATGTGAAGAGGAAACTAAAGGCTGTAATGTGATGGGGGGCTTCTGATATAAAAGAGAGCTTCTGATTTGAAAGGGGCTCCTAGCGTGAGAGAGGGGACTCTGAGGGAAAAGAAAGGGGCTCCTGATGTGAAGAGCCGCCCCCCCGCCAGAAAATCTATACCAGACCTTCACTCTAAGTAAGCTCCAAGTATTGAACTGACAGCACCGTGTAAAGCAAGAGAGCCGGACTGGCCTCACCCTGCAGGCCTTCCCTTTGTCAATCCTACTGTGCAGGGCAGGACTCAAATATGAAGCCGGGAAGCTAACTCTGGCTTCAGGTACTTATACTAGCAGTACACATGATGATATTTTTGGTGATTACATGACTGGATATCATTGTAATATTTGTACACATGTGCCTGGAGTTCAGCTTAAATATCTAATTGTCTACTAAGATGTTGGAATGAAATTGTGCCTTCTCAGCTTCTCCCTAATGTCCGGTCATGACCAACTGTGAAAGCCACAAACAGGACAGGAGGATCTGAATGTGCGTTAAGGGGGGAGGAGGGATTTAGGAATTTCGGCAATCACAATGCAAAGGAGCAATAAAATACAAAGTAGAAATGTGACATTTACTGGTTTAACATCATTTACAACATAAAATTCCCAAGAGTCCCTTCATAGATTTCTTCATGTAGCAAACAAATGACACACGGCTGCCACGTATGTCCATAAACCTTCCAGCTCTTCAAAAGCCGACAGTAGCTTCTTCCCGAGATTGTAATTCCTGATTTACGACGAGTTCCAAAGCCAGCCAATGAAGAACAGATCACCCAACGAGCGCCGCTTGTTGCTACTGATGGCATTACAGGATCTGAGTTTCTTCTCCAAGAATGATGTATGAAGGAGCAGCTCCACACAAGCAGCTAAAGTCTGACTTGTCTGCCTGCTGGAGCAATGGACCACTGGACCCCTCCCCTCACATGTAGGGTAAGAGTTTTGGGCTTTCAGGACGTGAAAGGGTACTTGTTATATATGCATGATAAAATATAATAACCGTTACTGTCTAGAGGAGAAATGAGTAGTAAAAGGATCCAATGATAATGGAGGTCAAGAATAAAAGCCTTCAAGCATTTGGCCAACTTGAGTTGTAGCTGTAACTCTCATTGGGTCCCAAATTGTGTAAAACCTCTGTGGTGTCATCCTTTGACATAGTTTTCCATAAGTCAGAAGCTGGCCGACTCTAGATATCACTTGGTAAATCCATGGACCTTCTTGAACTATAAAGCCCTCCATCCTGTACTCTCTCCTTCACTTCAATCTCCCCAGGAACGTCTGAGGAACTCTGGCCTATACTTCTCACTGAAGCCTCCAGGATTTCTGTGGTGTTGCCTCCCTAATCTCAGACTCCTTTCCTCATGCCGCTACTCACTGATCCTCTCACTTAACAAACCTGCGTCTGAGGAACTCTGGCCTATACTTCTCACGGAAGCCTCCAGGACTTTTGTGGTGTTGCCTCCCTAATCTCAGACTCCTTTCCTCATGCCGTTACTCTCTGATCCTCTCACTTAACAAACCTGCTTTCACAACGTGTTCTTTCCACCTTATTTCATGATCGTTTCCCATGTGTTACCAAAATAAGCAGCCGAGTCTCTTTTCCTCTTCCTCCACTTAAGCCAAGAGTGTAGATAACCACAAATATGAGAAAATCGCGCCTGCTGATGCCAGCCGAATTAGTAAACAGTTGTCCTCTACCTGCCGGTTGACCAACCTTGATGTTCTCGCTTTCACGGGTGACCTAATTGACCCCTTTTGTGACCACTGTACATAAAATGTTCTTTGCTATGGGAATATTAACTACCCTTGCAGCAGAGGACAAGGAATGACCAACCGTGTGTGTTCCTAGTTCCCAGACCCAGAAAAATGAGTCCTAGGGTAACTGACGCATACCAACTCTGCTAAATTCTAACCTTACAAAAATCGAGGTGAGACCATGACGTGAGAAGGGTGGATAGGAGCCAGCAACCACTGATAATAGTTTGTATTGGCATATGGATTTTTGGGGTCCTGGGGAACTCAATATGGCAGCTGTAGAGAAAACTCCGGCCTTTCACCTGTGGTGAAAATACAAATCCCATGATGCCTCTGCCTCCGGGAGTCATGCCTGTGGCTGTCAAGAGTCTTGCAATGCCTCATGGGTTATGTAGTTGCTCCACAGCTGGAGGGCTGGCGTTTGCCTCCCCCTGCCATATGGGATTGGAGGACGTAGATGTGCAATCAATTTTTTACAGCTTTACCCAAAACTTTTAAAACAAAATTCCGGGCTAAATAATGATAGCCCCGCACCCAGATATCTTGTTTATTCTTGCTGGGTTTCATAGACAGGAGTACTTCACGTGCACCTCAATCCTTCACCAGTTGGCACTTAAGACTTCTCTTCTCCCAGCTCGGAAGGTGGGCAAGCCCACAACATCATCACATACATTGCAGAACCACCAGTCCCATATTGTTCGTCCTGATGTTGGAGGGGGTGGCCATACAATTGACGAAGGGGAGCGGATTTGAGGGATCAGTAATTTGGAAGCAAGAGGAAGTTCCCAAGTGGGACACAGAGCGGTTCCAACCTTCCACCAGGACAGGAAGCGAGGGGAAGCTCACAAGTAGGGACATGGAGAGGGTCCAACCTTCCACCAGGACAGGAAGCGAGGGGAAGCTCACAAGTGGGGACATGGAGAGGTTTCAACCTTCCACCAGGACAGGAAGCGATGGGAAGCTCAAAAGTGGGGACATGGAGAGGGTCCAACCCTCCACCTGGGCAAGAAGCGAGTGGGAAGCTTCCAAGTGGGACACAGGTTTCAACCTGCCACCTGGGCAGGAAGCAGGGGAAGCTCTCAAGTGGAGACACAGAGAAGTTCCAACCTTTCACGATGACAGGAAGCGAGAGAAAGCTCCCAAGTGGGGACACAGAGAGAGTCCAACCTTCCACCAGGACAGGAAGCAAGGGGAAGCTCCCAAGTGGGGACACAGAGAGGTTCCAACCTTCAACGCTCCATCTAAAAAAAACTAAATAGCTTGGCCAAGGCTTTAAAATGACTGGACAGAAATATGGGGAGCAGTCACTGCAGGCCGGTTCTTAAAGGTACAGGCTCCAGAGTTGCCATCTTGATTCTGGCTTTACTATACAATACATCAATGATCTGGACAGAATTTCAGCCTCCATTAGTTAAGTGCTTATTCTGCCTGCGCTGCAGGTATATATAATCCAGGCTGTGACGCCATGTAGGAAAAAAGGAGAGCCGCAGCGCTGCTGGGTGCAGTACACAAAAACCTGCCATCGATGTAAACTATTGATGTTATAATGAGGCAGCCTTACCTCTCAGGAATGATTTGATTTTGGATTACTCGCCTGGATTCTCTTCCCGTCAGAGCAGAAGTGTCCGGCAACCACAGAGGCTTCCCAATCTCCTGCCTGTGCTCAGTTCAGAAAACAGACAGGGAGAGAATACAACTAAATATTAGCACACACACACCCATCCCTGAGAGGAAAGGTCACACTATTATAACCACAAGTGTGGAGATTCCGATTCTTACAAATGCCTGTCCTTGACTGCTCACCACACCAAGTAACAGATTCAAGTTAAGAGCGCTGGTAACAGCTCCTCCCCTCTTGTCCTGGAACTGCCATTGGGGTCCTGAGAACAGCCTGAAGCCAACCAGCACCCAGAGTGGCATTGTAGAGCCAGAGAAGAGCTCATCCAAGCATACCCCCGCCCCAGCTTACAAAGCAGCCACTCTTCGCATTCAGCAGATTTCAGAAAGTACTACAGTAACTGAATTCTAAAAACACTTTTGTGACCTTACAGGGGATAAATAAATAAAGGGTGGCTTCATATGGAGTCCTACTTTATAAGTCACAACCCTCGTGCAAAACATCAAACCACATAATCCCTCAGGTGAATCCGCTGATGGGTGAACAGGTAGGATCTCCGGGTGAAACACTTCCCGCACTCTGGACATCGGAACTGCTTCTGGCCCGAGTGGGTCGACTCGTGGCTGACCAGCGCCCTCTTCACGGCAAACCGCTTCCCGCACTCCGTACACGCGTAGGGCTTCTCCCCCGTGTGCTGCCTTTCGTGCTCCACCAGGTGCGATTTCTGGGCGAAGCACCTCATGCACAACGGGCACGAGAACTTATTCTCGTTGTTGTGGATCCGCTGATGCCGGACGAGGGAGATCTTATGTTTAAAGCATTTGTCGCATTCGGAGCAGGCGTGGGGCTTCTCCCATATGTGCATGAGCTGCCTGTGCCTGTCGAGGCTTGTCTGTTTATTGAAGCATTTCCCGCACTCGAAACACAGGAACTCATCGCCACCCTCTTCAGGTGCACAAGGGGTAAGCAGGGCGGGAAGACGCCCTGTGTACGGGACGGGTGAAAAGGACTCGCTGGCATGGTGTTGTCCCTGACAATGGTTCCGGGAAGTGGGGTTTACCATGGGGTAGTCTGCTGCAATCTCATAATCTTCTATTTTACCGTCCGCCGAGATAAAAGAATATTTCTTCTTCTTGTACCTTTTATTTCTTCTATCTAAATGCAATTAGAAGACAGGAACGGTTAAAATAAAGGATGTCCAGCATCATCTAACACCTTCCTCCCCAGCCTGACTGCCCCTGGCCTGTCCCTTTCATTAATTGGATTTCAGCTCGTCCAATCATGTAGGTTCAGCATGACAAATGCCCATTACCCAGAATACAGCCTGCCTAGCAACGCCCACCTCTCATCAAGACATTTTTATATTATTATTATTATACAGGATTTATATAGCGCCAATAGTTTGCGCAGCGCATTACAATATAAGGAAGACATTACAATTACAATACAATTCAAGACAAGATGGTAAGGAGGGCCCTGCCCCTGAGGGCACAGGATGGAAGCCAGAGGAGGGATTGGCAGAGAGGGGTGGGGGATGGAAGCCAGAGGAAGGATTGGCAGAGAGGGGAGCAAGGGATGGAAGCCAGAGGAGGGATTGGCAGAGGGGGGCGGGAGTTGGAAGCCAGAGGAGGGATTGGCAGAGAGGGGCGGGGGATGGAAGCCAGAGGAGGGATTGGCAGAGAGACGCAAGGACACAGAGGGGGGAGTTGCAGAGTAGAAAGATAGATTTGAGTGTCATCGGCATAGAGATGATATTAGGTTATTAACTGACCAAGGGAGGAGGTGTAGATAGAGAAGAGGTCCAAGAACTGAGACTTTGGGGACCCCTACAGAAAGATTAAGAGGAGGGGAGGAGTTAGATTTGTAGGCAACACTAAAGGAGCGCATAGCTAGGTAGGAGGAGAACCACGAGAGAGCAGAGTCTTGTAGGCCAAGCGAGTGGAGTTTTTTAAGGAGCAGTGGGCGGTCAACAGTGTCAAAAGCAGCAGAAAGGTCTAATAGTAAGAGTAAGGAGTAGCGGGTGGTCAGAGTACGGAGTAGCGGGTTGAAACATTTTTGGCTCCTGACTCCCCCCACTAGACACATTCCGTCCCCCATTACTGTCTACTGACAGAGGAGGGGGGAGAAGAAGAGATTGTTGTAGGGACTGAACAAGGAGAATCTGGGACTCTTTTCTCGATTGAGTGTTTATTCCTCACCTGTGCTGATCTCTGCAGAACGTTCCTCCTCCTTACATAGCACGACATCCCCCATCTCCTCATCATAAAGATCTTCAACTTTAATAGCCATTACATCTTCATCCTAGATGAGATAGTTTTACATCATTAACACTTTCCCTAAAACAGTGCAATATAGATTTAGGATATCAATTAGCACCCACCTCAAAATCATCAGAGGTGATGGGATCTTCTTGATTCAGGTTATCACTAAGATCTCCAGCTTCATCTACCTGAGGGATCTCCTTATGTTTCTGTGTGGAATCCCGGGAATACAGAGGACAGGCCTGAGAGATCTCCTGATGTTCCTGTGTGGAATCCCGGGAATACAGAGGACAGGCCTGAGAGATCTCCTGATGTTCCTGTGTGGAATCCCGGGAATACAGAGGACAGGCCTGAGAGATCTCCTGATGTTCCTGTGTGGAATCCCGGGAATACAGAGGACAGGCCTGAGAGATCTCCTGATGTTCCTGTGTGGAATCCCGGGAATACAGAGGACAGGCCTGAGAGATCTCCTGATGTTCCTGTGTGGAATCCCGGGAATACAGAGGACAGGCCTGAGAGATCTCCTGATGTTCCTGTGTGGAAGCCCGGGAATACAGAGGACGGGGACATCTCTCTGGGGTATTTCTGTTCCTGGATCCATCTGTAGGAAACACACACACTGACTGAATACATTGTTTCTATGTATTTATATCAGAGGATGTGTGTGTCCAGGGGGATCCCCAATACTCAAGAAAAGAAAGTCTCCTCTTACCCGGTGATGTGAGGGGCGGCCGGTTCTCCATCATGACGTCCTTGTAGAGCTCCTTGTGTCCTTCTAGATACTCCCACTCCTCCATGGAGAAATAGACAGAGACATCCTGACACCTTATAGGAACCTGACACACACAATGATACAGTCACCATCCAGACACATCCCTTGTCTGTTCCTGGATCATGTCCCAGAATCCCCGGCACCGCTCACCTCTCCCGTCAGCAGCTCAATGATCTTCTGGGTGACTTCTAGGATCTTCATGTCGTTGTTTCTCTCTGGTGTCAGAGAGGGAGGTGGACACCCTACGATGGGACTCCAACTCCAACCTCCTGACATACGGGGATATGCATTGGGTGGCACACGATCACCTGATGTCTTCTTCACCACTGTACAATCCTGAGTATAAAAAGATAAACAAATACTATGTGTTATATTACTAGAGAGAAGAGTGATGTCATGTGACCTCCCAGAATCCTCCTCACCTCTCCGGTCAGGTCTGTGTTTTATTACTAGAGATGAGAGTGGTGTCATGTGACCTCCCAGAATCCTCCTCACCTCTCCGGTCAGGTCTGTGTCTTATTAATAGAGATAAGAGTGATGTCATGTGACCTCCCAGACTCCTCCTCACCTCTCTGGTCAGGTCTGTTTTATTAATAGAGATAAGAGTGATGTCATGTGACCCCCCAGAATCCTCCTCACCTCTCCGGTCAGCAGGTAGATGATCTCCAGGGTGAGGTTCAGTATCCTCTCCGTCATTATATCCTTTTCTTTCTCCAGTCTCTGTGAATCAGCCATGACTGTGGATTCTTCTAGAAAAGATCTCTCGGGAAATCTCAGTAGAGGCGATCATGTGAAGCACTACAATGGATGGAAAAGAGAAGACTTATAAATAAATGTTTTGGTGGCTTTCAGTCCTAGGATCTACATCTAATTGTTTCTGACCCTTAGTCCTGTCATAGGGTGACAGCACTGCTACTCTATAAATACAATTCAGTATTGAACTACTTAAGAACACCCCTCTATGTGGTGGCTATAAGGAGTGGAAGAGCCGTTAGTAGTCCAGAGCCGGAGAGCAGCCTAGGGTGACAACCAAGGCACCCTCTATAGATACAGTGGAGTGAGCGTTGTCACTCTAGGACAGGAGGTGTATCTCCGGCAGGATTACCAATTGGTATTATGCTCATTACATACTGCAGGGATGTGAAGTGCAGGGTATAGACTGTACACCGGCTGGCAGTGCGATCACACAGGTATGTGCAGAGGGGTGTGGCGGGGTTGTAGGCAAATTTAATAATAATAATATGATTCATAATAATAATAACAAAACACTATTTATAACAAAGACAATAACATTTGACGTTTAATACCTACAACCATTCCCCATTCTCAATATGAGCCACCCACCAATGACAACTGAAAGGTTTATCTGCACACAAGCACTCACCAGGTGACAGTCCTGTTTCTCCCTTTAAAACACCCTGGCCGGAAGTTTATTGGTCCTCCCTATCACTTCCGGAAAAATTTGACCTTCCAGTATATTATTGACAAAAAGTTACAGGATAACATTTCTGGTCATGTAATTGTAAACCAAGGATCGTGGATATATGGCGCACATGCGGCCGTCTGGCGGGTAATCCCATCGGAGTCCGTGCCCAGCGGAGCTCTGCCCCCCTGGTACGGCGCGCAGTCTCTTTCGTACCGCTCATGTAGCGGTTGGCGCCTCGAAGCAACGGTTACTGCGATACTGAGAAGACTCCACCCACCGCAGAGCCGGCTGCCAATTAGATTCGCACTCTTGCAGTTCAATAAAACCAATCCTTGACACATCTTGCAGGCGGCCAATCGGATTCCGGCAACTGGAAGACTCGGAGTGACGGACAGGGCGCCCTGCAATCGCTGCTTCTCTCTTCGCCCCGTCTCCTTCCCTCTGACCAATAGCGGAACGATTTTTCCGTTACATTGCCTCGCTATAAAGGCGGCTGAGCTGACGGTTGGAATCAGTCGGTGTGGAGCTGTTTGCTTGGAGTGTCGCACGAGGATCAGGACGGAAATAGAATCATGAGGGAGATCGTCCACCTACAGGCCGGCCAGTGCGGCAACCAGATTGGGGCCAAGGTTAGTCATCCGGATGTCCTTGGTGGGTGTATATTGTAAGAGGTGATTGTGTTCCCGCTCTGCCATATACGGGAATCGACCCTCATAAAATGAATGGAGATCATCAGCTTCAAGATGGCTGATAGGGCGATCTACTTTAAGATGGCTGTATGTGGAACAATCTGTATGGTTTGCTTTAAACTAGAGCCATTGGCTTACTGGTGGTTGGGTGGCGGTGCCATTGGCTTACTGGTGGTGGGGTTGGGTGGCGGTGCCATTGGCTTACTGGTGGTGGGGTTGGGTGGCGGTGCCATTGGCTTACTGGTGGTGGGGTTGGGTGGCGGTGCCATTGGCTTACTGGTGGCGGGGTTGGGTGGCGGTGCCATTGGCTTACCACCTATGCCACCAGTCATCCAATGATACTGTGCAGCCCCACCACCGGTCAACCAATGACCCTAGCAGCCATTGGTGGCCCTGGATTCTGGTTTACTTGTGTTTTTGCTGAGCCTAGGCTTCCGGTTGGGTTAGGCAAACAAAATCCAGGCCAGTTCACTCATCACTGTTTTCTCATGAGGGGGTCCCTAAGCTTGTGTAGTAAAATCTTAAAGTGGAACTTCAAGAAGGAAAGAACCCCTTGTAGTGGGGCCCCTCCTGCAGTGTAAGGGTTAAATGTCAATTTTCCAGACTTTTATGCACCCTAACCCTTGCCTTCCAGGCAGCCGGTGCTCCTTTTTTCCTCCTGGTACTCCAGGTTGTGGATGGGTCCTCACTGTTCTGTCAGATCTGTGGTCACCAGATGGGTGCTTTAGAGAAGAGGCGTAATGGTTGAGGATCCTCCTATGAGGTCACTGGACCACCTCCAATAATGCTGGAAAATGTACATTTTTAATGTAACAACTTTGGGGGGGCTTTGATAGTCCTGAAGTTCAACTTTATCCCTTGCAGAATGCGCCAAACCTCACTGCAAGGGTGTTTTCTCCCTGTGGTTCAGCTTGA